GGGGGTTTAAGTGGAGAGGAAATGTTCTGAGAATGATGTACAAATGCGCTTTACACAATTGATGTGTGTATGGATTGTGAGAAGAGCTGTATGAGCCCCTAATAAAATGATTAGAAAAACAAAAGAATTAAAGAACAAAAAAAATAAAATATACTGAGACACCTAACATACAATGAAAAACAAAAGCAAAATGAAACAGAAAGAAGAAAATAATAATAATATAAAAACAAAATACAAATAAAGAATAAGAAAGAAAAGACCACCAATAATATTTAAAAAGCCAGAGAAGAAATTTCTGTCATAGAACAAGTGAAAAATATTTGAGCCTAGAGCAAATTCAGATTGGGTCAGGAGGAAGGTCAACTGACTAAGTATCATATCATACCATGATTCTATCACCATAATCAAGTTTACAATCATCTCTGTCTGATAGTAAAGTGTTTGAGTCCCCTGCCTGTGGCTCAAAGGGATCTGCCAGAGGCTTAAACTGACCAGCTACTCTGCAGATGGATTTTGGGCTCCCACTGTCCTCCATAGCCGTCTACAAATTGAGTGTTCACAGCTTAAGCTCTGATACTTTTCCCTTCATCATATTTAGATTTTGTAATCTTGGGTCATACAAGCTGGTGTGCTTCTTTAATGTGGATATAGTTGACTCCTCACTTAGATGGCTGCTTGTTTGAGTACAAGTCTTAAAGACCCCAGACACTAGTCTAATGACTAGTCAGGCACCATCTGCTTTCTTCCCCACATTTTGCTGTAGCACCTTCATCTTCAGTGATTTCTTCATGTTGGCAAGTATGGTGCAAAGCCATGCTATAAGAACTAACTGTTCTTCAATTGGGGCTAGAATTAAGTGGGATCCCAGAATCCATCTGCTTGTCCATGGGTTATTAATAACACTGGTTTACTTCATTAATCATATTATGGCAAAAACAAAAATCAGTAAGAACAACAACAACAAAACCCAAAAAGTCAAAAAAGCAAAAGAAACAGAAATGAAAACACCCTCAATCATCCCCCTGGGGTATAAAGTGATTGCACTGATAACATCAATATTTTATCCAATGGCATAGACTTTAAGGTACTATTGATAAGAGTTTATGTGAGCATAGTCCAACTTGGAGCTGCAATCCATGAGTTGTTGCTTTGCGCAAATTGATTTCTTAATTGATTAAGCTCTGTTTACATTGAGCATGGGGATTGGTGCTAGGGGAAAATTTCCTGTACCATTTCGTTCAAGTGCAGATCCTTGCCTATCAGATTAAAACCGGTCATATTAATACAAGGGCACCATTGTGGTACTAAATAATTGGTGGTCCTGAGTCCCCTTTCAAGGGGTCCCACCCAAATGATAGTCCCACCCAAATGATAGTCCAATGACCACCATTTCCGTAGTCTTGGGGTAGGTGGTACTTTGCTTCCTCTCCCATCAGAGTATTTCAGTCCTAACTCCAAGGGTACAGGTAGTTTTGAAGTAGGGCCAGGTTCAGTCAGTGGGGCTTCTATGCTGAGTCCTTCTGGCATGGCCCTTGGGAGATGCCACATTCCCTGTAAGGCCAGCATCTAAAGTCACCATAGTGCTTAGTCCATGGCAGGATTCACCAAGGGTTAGATGATAGAGCATATTTGAAGTGTCTACCCAGGACCATAGAACCTGGTTTATTCTCCCCTTAGGCCCCTACAATTATTGTTTGGCATCCCTTTCTGATATGAAGTTGCTCCTCCCCATTTACCCACCATACCTACCAACAGAAATACCAGTGCCTCCTCTGAAATGTAGATACTCCCCTCCCTTGGTGTTAATTTGATTCCCCAGTAAGGTTCTCCTCTCACTCCTGTGGAGGACCTGTTGATTTGTGGCAGCCTTGTCTGAATGTAGTAGAGCACCAAGTGGATGGTCTTCTCCCTTTTCCCCCTTTTTGAAGGAGTGACCCCAGCCAATGTGAGGACAAGACCTGTATAGAGTATTGAAAAGCAAGGATGTGACTTTGAGAATTAAGATACACTTGACCCAACCCATTGTATTTTCAATTGCCACATATACATGTGAAAGTTGGATATTGAATAAGGAATACTGAAGAACAGATGCATTTGAATTGTGATGCTGGAGAATACTGAAAGTACCATGGACTGCTAAAAGGATGAGCATATCTGTCTTGGAAGAAGTGCTCCTTAGAGTCAAGGGCTTTGTCAAATATACTTTGAACATATCAGGAGAGAACAGTCCCTGGAGAAGGACATCACGCTGGATAGAGGGGCAGAGAAAATGAGAAAGGCTCAGAATGAGATGGATTGACACGGTGGCGGAATCTATGGGCTCAGGCATTGGAACCACTGTGCACAAGGCACAGGACTAGTTAGTATTTCCTTCTGTTGAGCATGGGGTTGCTATGGGTTGGAACCTACTCAGCAGCTAAAAACAACAAAACCGAGCCTCAGAAGAAAGGCCTGGCAATCTGCTTATATAAAGATTATAATCAAGAAACCCCTATAGAACAGTTCTACTCTGTAATATGTGGGTCTCCTTGAGTTAGAACATAAGCAATGTCACTGAACTGTACGTGTAAAATGGTTCCAATGGCAAATGTTTTGTGAGTTTCCAACACGGTCTATTTACAGGAATAAAAAGCCCCGCCTTTCATCCGCGTAGCAAGCTGGGGTTTCAAACTTGTGGATTGCAACCCAGTTTATAATCACTACACGCCACCAGGGATCCTTGAATTACTTAGAATTAACTACAAAGAGGGCCTCAATTAGTTCACCATGAGTAACGCTGTTAGCCTAGTGGTTACAGGTTGGGCCGCTAACTGTAATGTCAGCAGTTAATAAACCACCAGTTGCTCTGGGGGAGAAAGACCGGGCTTTCGAGTCCCCGAAAGAATTACAGTTTTGAAAACGCTCAGGGTCAGTTCTCCCCTGTCCTATAGGGTCACTATGAGTCGGTGTTGACGCGATGGCAGTGAGTTTTAAGATCAGTTACCCACAGGGACTAGTTAGGCATTAGTGAAATAAGGAAGTTGATTGATTATCTTATTGGTGTCCTACCCCCGCCCCTTTCTATAACCATCGACTCTCTGCCTTGAGTCAATGCTGACTCATAGGGAGTCCCAGTGGGTTTTCAAGACTGTAACTCTTTACGGGAGTAAAAGGCTCGATCGTTCTCCCGCGGAGCTGCTGGTGGTTTCGAACTGCTGACCACACTGATCGCAGCCCGACGACCACCAGGGCTCCTCCACTATTTAAGCCAGGCTTCTTGAATAGCCTGGTGAAGCAAGTAGAAATCTGATTAAGTGTGCCAGGGTGCCTGTCCTAAAGCGGAAGTGTGAAAAAATCAACATGGCGGGGCTTTTTTCAGTGGGAAAGGCGACACCTACTACCTTCAACACAATGCCATTGTTGCTCTAGTGCTTGCACAGGCGCAGTGCCGGAATTGGCGGAGTACGCCTACGTGCGCACATTTTCGCCCCTTCTCGCCTCTTCCCTGCCTCCCCCTTTCCTCTTACTTCTCCCCACCCAGTATTTGGTCGTTCAGTCTTTCTTTCCTTAGTCTGTTTGAGTCTCCCTTTCTGAAACTCCATTCCGCCCCCCTCCGCCCGCACCTCTTTATTACCCTCCACCCCCACCCCCTTCCCTTTCCCTTCTCACGCGCTTGGCCACTGGAGCATGCGCATTAGGGACACAGCCTCGCTCTTTGTCCCCCATCTGTCGGTCACACAAACGCCTAGCTTTCTCATCCGGTAGCCAATAGAAACGAAGAAATGGTGGAAAAAGGATTCCGCCTCTGAAGAGAAACCTTGATTGGCAGTGACGTGAACCAATGAAAGTCGCTATCTTGGACCCCTTGGGAGGCACGGAGCTTTCGCCGCCTCGTTTCCGGCGGTCGCGCGCTCTTTTCTCGGGACGGTGGAGGCCGTGCAGCGTCGCCGTTACTCTGAGGAGAGAACCTTCGGTGCCGAGTGAGTTCCCGAGTGGTTTGGGTTCTGCGTGGGAGGCATGTTGGATTTCTTGCTCTCATCGGTGAAGGAGGAGACTAGGGCGAGGCCAGGTTTGGGTGGATGGCTGTTCCCGAGCCCCTTGAGGCCTTGTCCTCGCCGCCAGTGTGGTGGCCGCCTCGGCCCACCCGTGGTGGCCGCGCGCTTCGCCTTCCGTCTGCGCGCCTGCCCTTTCCCGCAGCCTCCTCTTCGGAGCTGGCTCCTGTCGGGAAGTGGGCCCCGCGGGCGTGGGGTCCATCACCGAGCGCACCGAGTGCGTTGTCGCAGGAGGAGGCGCTTTGTCCGCGCTCCTCCTCTCGCCTTCGAGAGGCCATTAATTCCGGGGAGGAACGTGGGCCCCCCCACCCGGGCGTGATTGCTGCAAACTGAGCCATGAAGTTCCCGCTTCCAAATCCCACCACGTTCATGGTCCGCTTCCTTTCTGGCGGCTCCTTTTCTTGTTTTGCTGCCTCTTTGCCCAGTTAATACCATCGCTTTTCTAAATTAAAGTGAAATTTATGGATTTCCTAGTGGTTACCTTCCACTGAAACTATTATCAGGCGCTGGCCCCTTTCTATGAACAGAGGTTGAGCTTAGAGAAGCCCGGGGGCACTTTGCTGTCTTAAATGGAAGTTAGGTAGGTGAAGGAGATGGTTGCTAGATACTGAGGGGGGCTACATATGCCTGCCTAGTTTTGAGTTTCAGCTAGACAACGAGTTACTTTTATGGTACATACATGTAGCAAAATAGTACTCATTCCAAAATCGGATATTTAAATTTGACTATGCCATGTATTTTTATTTGCGAAATCTGGCAACTCTAGCAGGGAACCACTGAACAGATTTATGGAGTGGCCTTGCCCAAATTCTTTATTCTTAAACGAAAGACAACACTGTTAGTGGGGGGGGGGGCTTGTTGTGTCAGTATGAGGGAGTCTTGGGTCCTGTATCCAAACTTATATTTGTGTAACTGTTGTGTATCGTGCCCAATAGCTGCGGTTTTGATAATGCACCAGTACCTATTTTCTCAAGAAAGTTCTTCATCAGAGTTGTTAGCTCTTTAGGACTGAAATCCTTGCTGCTCATCTTTGTGCTTTGTTCTCTTCTTGAGGTCAACTGGGTAGGTGGCAATGAAGTTATTTATTTTAATTTTTAAATAACTTTATTGGGGGCTCATACAACTTATCACAATCCACACATTAATTGTCTCAAGCATATTTGTACATATGCTGCCATCATTCTTTTCTAGACATTGACTTTCTATTGAATGGTTGGTATCAGCTCCACTTTTTTCCCCTCCCTCACTACCCCCACCTTTGTGACCCCTTGTTAAATTATAAATTATTATTTTCATTTCTTACACCAACTGTTGTCGCCCTTTCCCCATGGCTTCTGTTGTTTGCCCCTTTGAATTTATTACTCAAAAGAGCCTTTTGCACATATTTCCAAATTATCTTGCTAGCCATCATCAAAAATAGATGCTATCTTGTAAGCACTGTACGGAATGCCCAAAAAAGGAAAACCCAGAAGAGAGGAAAGAAGATCGTAATTGATGACCGTTGCCTAAATGGAGCATCCAACATATGCATAAATAAGGGCACTTGGCATCAGGAACAAGTACCTACTATGTTCTAGATGGGAGCTAAGTGCTTTTAAGTGCATTATCTCATTTTAGGCTTCAAAAGTAACCCGCCCAAGAGGTGGATATTCTATCCCATTTGACAGTAAGGTTCAGAAGTGAGGTGACATGGATTGCTAGTGAGTATCGTGAATGGAAATTAAGGTCTGTATGACTACAAAGACTAGCACAGTGATGAATATGAACTAGGGTACAACAGACTTGGGTGTTGTCCCTTGCTGCTCCATCACACCGTGTGACCTTGCATGGGCCAAGTACTTCTGGCATCAATTTCTTCTTCCAGAAGTATAGTAGTTGTGAGCATTAAATGAGATAATGCAGGCCTGACACAGTGTCTAGCATATAATGGTCAATAAATACCCAGTATTGCTATCTTTACTCCCAGGCTGCATTTTGAGAAGTCAAAAATAACTTCCTTGAGGTGATAGAAATTTGGCAATGATTATGCACCATGACAGGATTAATGTAGTTCATAGCACTAAAACATACTGAATTGGCAAATGTGGGGCTTCCAAAAGTTCATGGGGAAATTCCCTATCATTTCATTTTCCATGATCTTTTGGAAGCCCCTTTGTATTTTACAGCAATGAAAAAGCTACAGATAAATATTTAGCATCGGCAAAGCCTGGCCTCAGGCTGCCATGTGAAAATAATTATTTCCTAGGACTATGAGACTGGATCGTTTCCTTTTATATAATAAAGATCTGAACAGGAAAAAAATAACCTGCCTTGAAATAATCTTAAATAGTCCTTAAAGTTTTACACTCTAGGAGGTAGAGTATTCTAAAAGGCATTTGTGCTAAAATGGTCATTTAAAAATGGCATGGAGAAGTGTCTGTTAGGATGTAAATATATGGCATAGGACATTTAACTTGAGTTCATTAGTCATATCCAGATCCATTATGGGATGCAGAGTTCGAAGCTGGTACCACTGATTCCTAAGGTTGGAGGGAAAATGTTCCTTCGCTAAACTAAAGGAAGAAATATCTGAAGACAACCAAGTTTTTGCCATGGACCTAGCCACTTTAGGGCAGTAGGGAGATAGTTAAAAACCTGCGATCCAAATAGGAAAAGACTTAACGCTCATGTTACTATCTCAAACTATTTTTCACAATTTTTAAGGGATCTCATTTACCATGAAGGTGCTACACTTATTTATGGCATTTAAAATGATAATTTATATAGAAAACAATGCTGTGCTGTGTAGCAGGAGTCACAGATTCAGGGATCCTATTTTTAAGAATTTATGCTAAGGAAATAAAGGTATAAAAGCAAGAAGGAATTTACTGTAGTGTTATAGGAAAAAGTTGTAAACAACTTAAATGTCTCAATAGAGAGTAGTTGAGTAAATGTGTATCCAGATGGACTTAAAGTTTTAAAATTAAATCAACACTTGAAATCAGCAAAAGCTGAGTATACAATGGTGTGTTGTGTTTGCAGTTAAAAGATTGCATGTTTTGGAAGTTATAGAAAAATGAAAACAGTGGATATGTCCAACGATACCAAGTGTTCATGCATATAGTTGAATACTGTGTCCATTAACAGTAAATGTAGATTTAATGGTAAGAAAGTTGTGCTATGTCAAAAAGTTCAGAAAGGAAGTTAAAATACTTTGCATATAAAAATTAGTGACTAAAAGTAAATACCAAAATATCAACAGTGATTATTAACTTATGTTTTATATATTACAATATATTTTGTGTTACATACCTTGTAATTTCTGAGGTTTTGCAACATGAATGAGAAACAAAATTGATGAAATGAGAAAATTCCAGTGTAGGCTTAAACATCACAGTTCTATTTAAAATTGCAATCTGCTCCCTTCCACTAGCTGTATCTTTAACCCTTCTCCCCAATTAAAAAAAAGTTTTAACCCTTCTCCCCCATTAAAAATGGTTTTTCAATGCATCTTCTTTGTCTTATATAATTATGTAGAAACTCCGAAAGCCAGAATTTTTGCATTGCTCACTGAGCCATCCCAAGCACCTAGAATATAAAACCACAGCCATCCAGTTGATTGCAACTCAATAGGAACCATACATCATTTCCTAGGCTATAAATCTTTAAGGGGACCTCTTTCTCCCCTGGAGTGGCTGGCAGTTTTGAACCACCAATCTTGCGTTAGCAGTTCAATGTTTATCCTACTGAGTTAATAAAATGGAAAATTATCAATAAGCAACATATAAGGCGATTGTTTTAATTTTTGCATACATTGTGTTCATAATGTTTTTTTCTTTAACCTTCCCTCTTAAAACATTGCACTTTAAGCCGTATAGCATTCCATTGCATAGCTATAACAATTTCTTCAAATCAAGTTCTTTAATTTAAAATACTTAAATCATTTTTAGTGTTTTGCTACCACAGGGGCTGTGAACATTTTCATGTACCCAAAACCAAACTCACTGCCATCGAGTCGATATTGATTCATAGTGACACTACGGGACAGGATAGAACTGCCCTTGTAGGTTTCCAAGACTAACTTTTTATCGGAGTAGAACGCTTCATCTTTCTCCTCAGAGTGGATGGTGGTTTTAAACTGGTAACCTTGTGGTTAGCAATCCAACAGGAAACCAGTACGCCACCAGCGCTCCTATTTTCATGTAAGTAGCTTTTCACATTGAAATTCTTTTCTTATGAAAAGCTTCTAGGAATACAGTTTCTATGTTTAGAAATGTAAAATAACTTTTGAATGCAAATTTGGATAATGGTGCTTTCTGTTTGTATAGAATGTGTTAAATTTATCAGGAAGTTTTTTTAATGTGGTAAAATGTATATAGCAAAAGGTATTGTGCAGCAGCTTTACCCACAGAAGACCTGCTGCACAAGACCTCTATAAATATTGAACAACAATGATGTTGCTTTGAGGACTGAGGTGTACCTGACCCAAAGCTGGTATTTTAAATCACTTCATATGCATGTGAAAATTGGTCACTCAATAAAGAAGACTGAAGAAGAATCAATGCACTTGAATTATGTGCTGGAGAGAAATAGTGAAAGTATCATGGACTGTCAAAAGAACAAACAAATCTGTTGGAAGAAGTACAGCCAAAATGCTCCTTAAAGGCAGGGATGCAAGTCTTCGACTCCCACACTTTGGATATGCTATCAGGAGAGAACAGTCTCTGGACAAGGACATCAGATTTGGTAGAGTGTGAAAAACAGGAAGATCAAGAAGAGTTGTATAATCATTACCACAATCAATTTTAGAATATTTTCTTCCTTTTGATACTCCTTATTTTAGCTCCCCATTTCCCCCCAGCCTGCCCTGCCATACCACCAAGCAACCATGAGCCAGTTACTATCTATCGCTATAGATTCACCCATCCTGGATTTCACATACCTAAAAACAAAAAGAAAGAAAAGAGCAAATAACAATAACAAAATAAAATAGAGAAAAACCTCAATTGAAAAGAAAGCAGAAAATATTAAAAATAGAATAACTTTAAAAATGGGTCAAAAAGGTGAGCCAAATGATAAGGTATTACATTTTAACTTAGCTACTTCCATAATAGATTTTATAATGCATTCCTGAACTATAGTCGGGATATTTTGAACTTTTGAAGAAAGTTTTTGTATACACAAAAGTATTCCCATATACTTACTATTTATAATTAGCTATCAAACTTTTGTCTCATTGTTGTCATGTGAAGAATATCATTTTCTATTTTAAAGGGGATCTATGTAAATAATTATAACTATGGGGTCTGGTGTTGGGGGTGGGGAATTAGGATTGACTTTGTCTTTTTATTTCTGTTTTTAGAGAACTATTTTTGAATGAGGCAGATGAAGATGGCCTCTTATTAACCTGATCAATAAGAAAATTTTCATTTCAAGACTATAAATTTAAGCATATAAAATATTCAGTCTGGATTATACCAGGAATTTTAATTTTGTTTTCTTTTCAATCTTATGTTGATTTTTAATTGACAGATTTTAACACAGATGATTGTATATCCATCTTTTTCTATCTTATATTGCTTTTGTAGTCATTTTTTAACTTTTTTTTGCTTTTGTAATCTTTTATGATTTGATTTTTGTTCAGTAATAATTTTTACACTGACATTGTCCCCAGATGGTGCAAACTATTAATATGCTTGACTGCTAACTGATTGGGGGTTGGAGGCCACCCCACGATGCCTTGTAAGAAAGGCCTGTCAATCTATTTTAAAATTGGCCTTTCACATCAGGTTACCATGAATCAGAATTGACTAGATGGCAATCATATATATACCAGTACTGAGTTAGTAATTTTGCATATTTACTTAATCTTCATAGTATTGAGAGGTATGTTTTTATTGTTCCCTTTAAAACAACTGAAGAATCTTATTAAGGTAGGACATAGCTATTGTGTATTGGGAACTATGATTCAAAAGTATGTCTTAACTCCATAGCCCACTGTTCATTCCACAGTATCTCCTGTGGGCTAGGACTATACCAGAGAATAACACTGATTACTCCTTATCCTTCGCTAATTAGCAAATTCCTGAACTGTCTAGTCTACTCCATTTTTATTGGTATTAACCCATGCCAGTTATTGTCTTTACAATATTCTTTACGAAGCAATGTTGGTACCATTGAGTCACTTCCAACTCATAGCAGCCACATGACAGAATAGAGCTGCCTCCTTGGCCGTAACCTATGGAAGCAGATCACCAAGTCTTCCGCAGAGCCACTTTTGGTTAGCAACTAAGTGCTTAATTATTGCAACACAAGGGTTCCTTGCAATATGTGATAGGGCCATTTGGTGAGGGTTAAGATTCTCTTGGGAAAGTGGTTTCCTTTCATGTTTAGAATTATTGAACTGGAAGTTTTCTTGAGTCATTTCTAGTCTCAAGTGATTCTCATTTGGTGCTTGTTTAGTTCCTGTGTATAGCATAATTGCTAAAGCCTGTTTGTAGGTAATAAGTCATCAGGAAGATGATTCTTAGTGTGTCATTAACACCGAATGTATTTGACAATCTGCTTTTCCCATACAGGGTACAAAAATGCAGAGCAATAAAACCTTTAACTTGGAGAAGCAAAACCATACTCCAAGGAAGCATCATCAGCACCACCACCAGCAGCAGTCACTACCCCCGCCAGTACCGGCAAATGGGCAACAGGCCAGCAGCCAAAGTGAGTTGATGCTAGGTAATGGGGTAGAAATAGGTTTCCTATGGGGAATGGTTCTTTGGTTTTCAGATATTTGTCTCTTGGGATTGTGAAGGGATGGACCTTTATGGCCATCCTTGATCTTTTTTCCCCTATTTACCTCTTAATGTGTATATGATGGGAAAAGGCTATTTCCTGAAATCAAGAAGTAGATATGGTGTAGAATGGCAGTTGAGTACTGGTTACTGAACATTTACTTTCTTGGACTCATTGTCATCGGCTCCCAGCCTCCCCTGCCGTCCCCCGCCCAAGAAACCATCAATACAGTCACAACCTCTATCCAGAGAAAACAAAATACAGAAAAACAAAACCAAAAACCCCCACTGCACTCTGATGGAAAGCAAGGCTATCCTTGGTCTGTGGTCAGAGGGTATTCACTGGAGGCTTAATGTATGTGTGAGCACTGCAAATGGATTTTGGACTCCTGTTGTCATCCATAGCCTTATGCAAAATGGATGTGCACAATTTAAGCTCTGATACTATTCCCTCCTTCAGGTTAGGATTTTATCATTCACAATCCTTGGATCAAACATGCTAGTGTGTTGCTTCTGTGTAGTCCTAGTTGATGCCTCACTCAGATGACTGCTAATTCAAAGAAGCCTTTACGAGTCCAGATGCTATTCTTTCAAATAGCTGGACACCATCTAGCTTTTTTTTTTTTTTTGCCATGCTTGGCTGTAGCACCGCGTCTGCATTGATCTCTTTATGCGGATAAGCATCAAACAGGGCAGTTTTTAATCTCATTTGGTTCTTTTGTAATGTCACTTATTTCTTATTCATAGGATTTGCTCTAGAACATTTTCTTTGTTCTTGTACACATTGTTATTAGCTCCCCATTTCCTCCCAAGGAACCATTAACCCAGTTACTGTTTATATCCTGGATTTCATATACAGGAAAACATTATTTTAAAAACCAACAAGGAAAAGTAACACTAATTCTCTTTCTCTGGTGGGGGTGGGTTGTGTGTGTGTGTGTGTGTGTGTGTGTGTGTGTGTGTGTGTGTGTGTGTGTAATACGTCTCCTGTGTCTTCCATTAGATGAAGGCTTGACTATCGATCTGAAGAATTTTAGAAAACCAGGAGAGAAGACCTTCACCCAACGTAGCCGTCTCTTTGTGGGTAATCTTCCTCCTGACATCACTGAGGAAGAAATGAGGAAACTATTTGAGAAATATGGGAAGGCTGGCGAAGTCTTCATTCATAAGGATAAAGGCTTTGGCTTTATCCGCTTGGTGAGCAACTATGGGCTTTGGGCATGTGGTTTTTTTTAAACAAACAAATGGAGAAAGCTAGGAATGATATATGGAACAGCAGGCAGTGGAAATCTCAGATAGTCTGCTTGCCAAAACCTGGGAGTTAATGAAACAGGACCAAAAATGCAGAATTTATGCTTGCTACTCTTGTGGGTTTTTTTTAAGATAAAATGTTTATTTGCCCAAGATAATAGCAAGAGCTAATGTCTCAGAACTGTTTCATTTGAACATTTTCAAACATAAAGCAGAATAGTATAGTAACCCTTGCTCTGAAAAAAAGCAAAAACCTTCCTCTGTATCCATTACCCAGCTTCAACAATTACCAGTTTATGACCAATTACATTCACCTGCCTTCCTCCTAGATACTCCCCATACTCAATATAAATATTTTAGTACATTAGGCCTTATTTTAAAGTTAATTTGATTTAGATAAAGATTTAAGTGTATGGGGAGGAAACCATTTCTTGGCATCATCTACTATAAATATGGAGTAAGCAGAACTAGTTTTCATTTTGCATTTGTTAACTAACTCCTGAGATTACATATAGGAAGTTAATTTCTCTGGGGTTAAAATTCAAGGGTCCTTTCAAGGTCTGATTCTAAAGAAGCTTTCTGGAGATCATAACTGGTTTTGGTAAAACGTGTAACTAAAATATTCTGGGTGCTGTTATAATTAAATATCAGAGTGGTTTTTGGTTTTTAGATTATATGTTATTTTTGAAAAATAACAAAATTGGTGATGGTGTATTGCTAAAATTTATAATTATGTCCCATTTATTGACAAGTTACCAGAGCAATCACTATAATCAGAGAGTTAATCTGAAACAGATGATTCCATTCTTTCAGATCTACCCATATTCTTTATATACTTGTTGCCAAATTGATTTGGAGACATTTTTGTACTGAGCTTTGTTTGCTACTTAGAGTGTTGATGGATATATGCATAGTTTTTGCCAAATTGAGTTACTTTAACTTTCTAATGCTCTCTAGGAAACACGAACTCTAGCGGAGATTGCCAAGGTGGAGCTGGACAACATGCCACTCCGTGGAAAGCAGCTGCGCGTGCGCTTTGCCTGCCATAGTGCTTCTCTTACAGTCCGAAACCTTCCTCAGTATGTGTCCAACGAACTGCTGGAGGAGGCTTTTTCTGTGTTTGGCCAAGTAGAGAGGGCTGTAGTCATTGTGGATGATCGAGGAAGGCCTTCCGGAAAAGGCATCGTTGAATTCTCAGGGAAGCCAGCTGCTCGAAAAGCCCTAGACAGATGCAGTGAAGGCTCCTTCCTGTTAACCACGTAAGTGAGGATCATTTTCAGAAAGTCCTTAGGTTGCTACTTCCTTGCTGTGGTCTGAGGAAGTTAGCCACTGGGAACCATGTTCTGGGATCGTTTAAAAAACTTTTTTTGTGGGTGGATTTCAGTGACCAGACATTTAAAGATAATACTAATTTCAGTTTTCCAATGCATATCAAAGTATAACTTTAAAGTCTTGCGATAATATGTCTTCAATTAAAAAAACCAAGATGTCCTAAATCAGCCTTTACTTTGTAATGTTTTTGAACTCTGAAAAGTTGCTTTATGCATATAAGGGCTTGGTATTTCCCCCATGTCATTTTCTGGAGTAGTTCTGCAGATAATGGATACTTAAACTATACTTCCTTTGATCTTTTTGAAACTGTAGCGAGGAGATCTGAAGCCTGATTCTATTCTATCAACCCGTTTCTCCTTAATGCCATTAATAGGATTTGGTTCCGTGAGCTCCATACAACTTTTTCAGAAGTATGTTAATTGAAAAAAATTGAGTATGTTAATTGTTCAACCATGACATTGCAGGCCCTAGAGATGGAAAACCTAGTAAAGTGTGATCTGATTAGCCCTGAACTTCCTTTCTCCCAGATTTCCTCGACCTGTGACTGTGGAGCCCATGGACCAGTTAGATGACGAAGAGGGACTTCCAGAGAAGCTGGTTATAAAGAATCAGCAATTTCACAAGTATGTGTTCCTGACAGATTCTGTGCTTGCCAAGTCCTAAGGAAGCTTGTATGGAGGGATTTATGAAAAAGACAGATCTTTGATGAGTTTGAAAACAGGCATTATTTTGGTTCTTAGGTAGAATGCAATGCTTAGTTGGAGGAATCTTAGAAACAATTAAGTCACCCTAGACCCTTGTCTATAGGGAACGAGAGCAGCCACCCAGATTTGCACAACCTGGCTCCTTTGAATATGAATATGCCATGCGCTGGAAGGCACTAATTGAGATGGAAAAGCAGCAGCAGGACCAAGTGGACCGCAACATTAAAGAAGCTCGAGAGAAGCTGGAGATGGAAATGGAGGCTGCTCGCCATGAGCACCAGGTCATGCTAATGAGGCAGGGTGAGTATCGGCCTATAAACGTCCTAAAGCTAGAAAAACAAAGTGAAAGCTTTCAGGAGTTTATATTAATCAGTAGCGGAAGACCTAAATCTCTACTTTTATTCTCTGAAATATTTTGTTGATCTTGGTAGGCAAATGAGCTTGGAGATGTGACAGAAAATACTGGATTCTGTGGAGAAGGAAATATAGGTTTGACTTTATTTTTGGAATCTGGATACCTCAGACATCCACTAAGGGATTATATTCCCTTTGCTTTCTGGATCTTTATTTAGAGAAAAATTGTATCTGGCTGAAGAGCATGAAGAATACTTGAATTATTTTGTTGTTTTTCTAGATTTGATGAGGCGCCAAGAAGAACTTCGGCGGATGGAAGAGCTGCACAACCAAGAGGTGCAAAAACGAAAGCAACTGGAGCTCAGGTAAGTTTCTTGAACCTGATTCATGACAACTCTAAAAGGGAATATCTCATTCCTGCTTTCTACCACCATTCTTACCTGGTGCGTTTGTAAATAAGTTGGCAAATATTCCCTGACTTCTTCTTAGGAAGGGGACATTTTTAGCTGCCCATGGCTCTAGGATTTACCCTCAGGAAGTAGCTAAGTGCTGGTCCCATGAATCTCCTTTAGGAAGAGAACCTTTTTTCAAGGGGACCTTTGAGGTGGGTACATTTAATAGTGAGTTTTCTGGAGAGTTGTGATAGTGTTCAGTAGACGATTACCTTAGTAATAGAGTTACCTTAGTTCAGAGTGCAGAGTATTTTATTAAGAAAGCCTGCTTGTGGAAGCTGGAGGGAGATGGCACGAACACCAGTAAGTATGAGGAAGAAGAAATATCCTGGAATCGATGGTGGTGATGGCTGCACAACTCTTATGAATGTGACTGAACTATTGGAAAGTATATGTGAATTGTGTGTTGGCGAAACTGTTCAAAATAAATTATTTTTTAAAAGAGCCTGCTTAAGTTCTTGTGTACCTGTCTCAAATATCTTTATGGGTCTGGTTTTCAATGCCTTCATGACTGTAGGCAGGAGGAGGAGCGCAGGCGCCGTGAGGAAGAGATGCGGCGACAACAGGAAGAAATGATGCGGCGACAGCAGGAAGGATTCAAGGGAACCTTTCCTGATGCGGTATATTTCTCATGTGTCCATTATGTATCACACCATTTGTGACATGACAAGCACACCATAAATTGTCCACTAAGGACCACAAAATAGTTCAGGTTCTGACCAATTTGCCCATATTTGGAGATTATTTTTAGAAATAATTTTTTAATCATTTTATTGGGGGCTCATACAACTCTTATCACAATCCATACATCTATCCATTGTGTCAAGCACATTTGTACGTTTGTTGCCATCATCATTCTCAAAAGATTTGCTTTCTACTTGAGCCCTTGGTATCAGCTCCTCATTTTTTCCCCTCCTTCCCCTCCTACCCCTTCCCTCTTGAAATAATTTATACGAATAAACTGTAAAGTTGGAAGGGGAACTTATATTGCCTCATAAGCAATTAAGATGAAAAGTTGAGGACATTGCTTTTTAATACTCTCTGACTGTAGGATGAGATAAATTGATTCCTTTTTTAAAAATGGATTCCTATGGCTTCTTTGTTCGAGTTGGAGACCTAGGAGAAACCAACACTCCTGCATCCTTTCTCCTCTCATTCCGAATAGGACTGTTGGCTTGTGTCCCAGAATCTCTGACTTTAAACTTGGTAACTTGCAAGAAGCTTTTGGTGTTCAACTTGCTGTCACAATTTTTAGTGTGGTCTTAATGGATTGTGGTAGAAGGCATTGTGTCATGGATTGTCTTGTGCATTTTTGTTTTTTAGAGAGAGCAAGAGATACGGATGGGACAGATGGCCATGGGAGGTAAGGACTTGGGGAGGTTAAAGACATTTTTGTGTCTGGTCTTTAGTGAGCTTATTAATCTGTATAGTTTCTCCTACCTATTTCAGATTTAAAGGGTATCTGGTACAGATTTGAGGGACTTTAACACAGTTCTTAATGAATTTGTTTCCTTAATGGTCTCCAGACCCCGTACTGATTACACTGTTCTCTCTGCTTTAGGTGCTATGGGCATAAACAACAGAGGTGCCATGCCTCCTGCTCCTGTGCCAGCTGGTACCCCAGCTCCTCCAGGACCTGCCACGATGATGCCAGATGGAACCTTAGGATTGGTAATAAACTGCAGGGCCTCACATTAACCCTGGTAGTTGGAGGGGAAAGGGCCTTGTCTTCAAAGCCCCTGGGGCTACCTTGATTTTTCTACAAATAAACAATCTTTAGTACTATTGATATCCATTAAAAGTAACCTCAAGATTTTTTTTATGAGTTTTATATGAAGGGTAAGTGTACATTAAGAAAGCATCCCAACCTAGAAAATGTTTATTTTTTAATCTTGTGCAAATCCATTTTAAAGTACTTTGTCTTAATAGTTAGTCGAGTAGTTTGACTGGTTAGCTACTACCTTTGGAGAAAAATTCTTTGGAAGAGAAGACAGTAAAGGCTAGAAAAGTAAAATATGTGTGAATTCAAGGTTTTATGGCTTGTGAAATCCTGAGGTTTAGGTTCTAGTCTCAAAATGTTTGGATTAAATTGGAAGCCCAAATGGTGCAGTAGTTGTTTAGTTGCTAACGGGAAAGTAGGTCATTTGAACCCACCAGCCTCTCCAGGGGAGAAAAATGTATCAGTGTGCTTCCATAAAGATTTACCGAAAACCCTAGGGGGCATTTCTACCCTGTACTTTTCTTTGTTTGTACCCTGTTCTATAAGGTCACTGTGAGTCAGAATTGACTCAATACAGTGAGTTGGGGTGTTGTTGTTTTAAAGGTCTGGGTTCCTGAACAGTGATAGGCTACCCTTGTCTAGATATACCTAGCTTAGGAAAAAGGATTTGGCTAGAACTTGTCCTGAATCCTTGGGTGATACAAATGGTAATTTCACTCTACTAACTGAAAGATTGTCATTTCAAATCTGCCCAGAGGTGCCTGCTTCCTAAAGGTTGTGGCTATAAAAACCCTGTGGAACGGCTATTCTACTCTGAAACACATGAAGTTGCCATGAATAATAATGAACAACTTTTGTGTTTTATTTTTGGTTCTTAAAGAATATATACAACAGGTCATATATACCTTGAATAATTTCTTAAATATACAATGCAGATATGTGTTTTCTGTTTGTAACATGTCCAACCCAGGGTTTTAGTACATGTAGTACATGATACTGCCTAATAGTGAGGAATGATGATTCAGACAATTTAGGGTTACCCACTAATTTTAGCAGGCTTGGTGTCACTCCTTGCATGCAGACCCTTGTTTTAAAAGTTCCTTTCCAATCTTTTTAATGGCTTCCAGGGGAGGGATTACAGGTGGGTGCGAAGCTTAAGACAAAGATTCTATTGTAATAATGTGGGTTTTTGTTTTTGTTTTTCTCTTTAAGACTCCCCCTACAACTGAGCGTTTTGGCCAAGCTGCTACAATGGAAGGAATTGGGGCAATTGGTGGAACCCCTCCTGCATTTAATCGTGCAGCTCCTGGAGCTGAATTTGCTCCAAACAAGCGTCGTCGATACTAATAAATTTGTGGTCTACTTCCCCCAAACCTGTAAAAGAAGGACCCTTTTTGGACTAGCCAGAATTCTACTCTGGAAGAGTGTTAGGGATTCCTCCCTGTAGTTAGGTCTTTGCTGCCTGTTCTACTCTAGGGAGTATGCTGGAGGCAGAGGGCAAGGGAGGGGTAGTATTTAACAAATCAGTTCTGTGTGGTATATTATTTAACAAGTCAGTTCAATTCCATGTGGTGCATTCCTGAAGTCACAAGATAATGGATGTTAAGGGCCTAGAGGAAATCTTGGCCAAAAAATGGATCCAGTTAGCACCCTATTGATCTTGATCATTCCGTTTTAGTCCATTTTGTTTTGTTGGGTCTTTTCTTTTTCATCCTTCCATCTCCCAACTCAAGACACTGCCGCATATACCACAAAAAATCAGACTTCCCCCAATGACCTTAGCTCCATTGCTCAATTCACTCCTAGTTCAGAATTCAAGCAAATGTCCACATAGGTTACTGACAACATACATACATCATACGGTTTTGTTGTATTCTATATATTACCCCATAATGTCCTACTGGCGACATTTTTTCTCTTATAGATTTTCATTTTAGTATATCTTTAAAAAAACTGTAAACTTGCCTCCATCTTTTTCTTGGATGAGGACAAACCAGAAATGGCCCTTTTGTGTCTTATGTTGCTATTCACAGCTTTTTTTTGATAGGCCTAGTACAGTCTTGGGAACAGGGTTGCTGTGTCTTGAAGGTCTGACGGTAGCTCTTAGCCTTGCCTGTTTTAGGTAGTTATGCTGTGCATTTTTTATTGTTATACCATGTTTGATTTGTCCCTGGTACAATTAATTTTGAGTTCCCTGAGAAATGGAGCAGAAATGCAGCATCACCTTATTAAAATGCATTTTAAGCCTTTTAATTTTCTGTGCTATTTTTGAAGGGGAAGGGAGGGTGGAGGGTGGTTCTGTCTTGAGAGTTGGAAATTATAAGATACTGACTTTGATGAAAGTACTAGTCATTCTGGGCAAGAAGTAGGGGTTAAATGCATACTGTTGCCAAGATGATTGGTAAAGATTACAGAAGCAGTACATATGAGTAAAGCTGCTGCCTTGGAGCCTGAAGTATATTTCAAAGTTCCTATAAATTTGGGAACAGCTTCTAATATGTCTGGATTAAGTGTGTCTAAAGCTGAGCAGTGACTAGCTGACTCATCCCAAGTTCTAAGCCCTGCTCTGGCTTGATCCTTTTCTCCTGAGCATTACAGCTAAATACTCCTGAGCTCTTCCCTATTGGCTGGGGAGACGAACTGAAGTTCCTTGCCCATGTTAGGAGGTATACGCCTCCTGAACTAAAGATAGAAACAGCTGGCCCTTCTAGGCAGCTAAAACCCTTTAGACCGAGTTGTTCCTCACTCGGCAAGTGGACTCCTTGAAATACCCTTTTCTGTAATTCCACCAATACCTTCATGTCTCTACTGTGCTATAACAAAGGCTGTGGGCAACACTTTGACCCCAATACCAACCTTCCTGGTGAGTGAGTTATCTTGACCTTGCTAGGGGATCTTTGGTTGTTGTGGGGAAGCATGATATAGGGGTGGGAAATTCAGAAGCTTAGTGTGTGTGCTTTGGTCTGGATAAATTATCTCCCACGATGGATGCTACTTTTACATTATATGGAAAGAAACTAGGGTATAAACCTGGAGAAGAGGTAAGATAATACAATGCTCCAGTTACCTTTCCTTCCTTGATCTTTACTTCGTGTCCAGATTCCTGTTGCCATCACCCTGGTGTCCCAATCTTCCATGATGCACTTAAGGTGAGGAGTAGGCAATGGTGGGGAGTGGGCTAGCAAGAACCTTTCTCAAAGGAAATACACTTGGGGCATCTAAGCCAAGATGGGTCTCTTTGTTATTAGGGTTGGTCCTGCTGCCAGAAACGAACTGTAGATTTCTCTGAATTCTTAAGCATCAAGGTAAATCCTTTTCTTCCTTGGAATCTGCTTTTCATGGGATCTATCCCTAATCCTTATCTCCTTATTTATACTAGGGCTGTACTATGGGACCACATTGTGCTGAGAAGCTCCCTGAGGCCCCACAACCTGAAGGCCCTGCCACAAGCAGTTCACTTCAGGAGCAAAAACCTCTGAATTCAAATCCAAAGTCAACAGAGAATTTGCGCCAGGAGAGGCCCAAGTAAAGAGGGAGGTTCCTGGGTTTTTCATATATTTGTGCAGCTTCCTAGACGTGATTAATGCGCCACGGAAATGTCAGAACTAGGAAGCAGATGTGAAAAGGGCCAGGGTGATGTATAATCTGTGCCTTAGGCTTAATGCATCCAGAAATATTTCCCTTTGCTCCAGGATGTCATGAGGTGGTGATGGGTTTGATAGCTCTTGTCCACAGAGTAGATAGCCTCTCACAAATATATACTTAGTATATAACGAGGGGTTATTGAGAATTGTCATTTTTAAATAGAGGTTGCAGAGAATAAGTTTGAAATATTAAGTCTACAGTTAATTTACAAAGGAGGGTGAGGATGACTAGAGGGAAAAGCAGAGCTCAAGAATCTGAGATTACTAAATTCTAGGGCCTAAGGGAAGGAGCCCTGGTTCCATAGTGGTTACATGTTGGGCTGCCAACTGGAAGCTGTGCAGTTCAAAACCCATCAGCCACTCCGTGGGAGAAAAATGGGATTTCCTCCCATAAAGAGTGACGGTTTCATAAACTCACGGGAAGTTCTACCCTGCCCTGTGAATTGTCACCGACTACATGGCAACGAGTTGGGGTGTGTTTTTTTTGGGGGGTGTCTAAAGAACAGGAAGGAGCCCTGGTGCTATGGGTTAGGCATTGGGCTGCTCACCACAAGGTTGGTAATTCAAACCCACTAGCTACTCGACGGGAGAAGTTGTTTGTTCCAGTAAAGGCAGCCTCAGAAGCCTTAATGGAGGGTCACTACAAGTCAGAATCTACTCAGTGCCAGTGGATTTGGTTTTAGAGTTTTGAAAGGGCTGAAGTGATATGTTGGGCTGCTAACTGTAAGGTTGCTCCATGGGAGACAGATGAGGCAGTCTGCTCCTATGAAGATTATGGATCAGTGCTTTTCTGCCCCATATGGTCAATATGAATTGGAATATACTGGATGGTAGTGGGTCAAAGGGCTGGAGAGGAAGAGGAAATGACACAGCTCTAAAGAGCAATATAGTTAGATTTAGAGCAACTAGAGAAGCCCTGGGAATTTCCTGTGTTCAAGGATTTAAGATGTCCACATTGGCAATGAGGTTGCTACCCAATACCTCCAACCCTGCCCGACTTTTACCAGACTTCTTTAACTCCATTGCAATTGATGGGAGTGTTGGAGCTGGCTAATGATTCATGACTAAATCACCTCACCCATAAATTTTAGATCAGAGTTGCTTCTGAAGCTGCTGCCACTAAATATATCCCAAGCCCTGGGAATGGCATTGGAACAGAAGGAACTAGACCAGGAACCTCGGGCAGGTAGGTGGACCCTTAGTAGGACAGTCCTTACAGACTGGAATTTAATAGATGTGGCCATTGGGTGGGGGGATGTATATATAGGCTCTTGACCCACTCTCCCTTGTCCAGGACTTGACAGTAGCCTGTTCCAGACTGGTTCCAGTTGCCAGAACCCAGGATGTGATGCTGTGAGTGAGAGTTTTGGGGGCTCAAGCCTGTGGCTGAAAGGTGCTAAACCTGAGGGATGGCTGGGTATAGATATGATACTGAACGGCCTACACCTTATAATGACTTGATTACTGATTCTTCCTTGCTCTTGTTAGGTTTACCAAGGACCCGAGAGTGATGCTACACCATGTATCTACCACCCAGGAGCACCTCAATTCCATGAAGGGTGAGGAAGGGGACTGAGTGGACTGAGACAGGTTTCACCCAACCAGTATGTAACATAATATGGGAATGGGTTTTTATGAAGCGAGTGGAAGATTCAGTTGATTAATCTTCCTACATAAGAATGAAGTCTTGGAGCTGTTGTGGCATCCAGACCCTGGATTTTGGGGCATTCCTAGTGCAGCCAGGATGCAGAGTTGGTAGACATGACTGGGGCAAGCAGGTAAGCCCTAACTTTCCTGAACTCTTGATTAAAGTCCAATTTCCGAGATAACTTCTCTTCCCTATAACTTATAGCCTAGTTCCCTCTCTTGTATCCTTTGTGTACAGATCAAGTAAAATTCTCCTTATCCTTCAACATCCTAGAGATTTTAGAATATGATGAAGTAGTAATATTTCTTAAACTGATGGCTCTTTTGCACCCACACCATGAGGACTCACCTTGGGTTAGGAATTCATTCTCAACCATCCTCATTTCCCATCTTACCTTTAGTTGCCAGCATCTTGCCGCCATGATTGGTACCAGACAGATTCCTTAGTAGTGGTGACTGTGTATGGCCAGATTCCACTGCCTGCATTCAACTGGGTGAAGGCCAGTCAAACTGAGGTAAGGAGGGGGGAGGCTAGTGAATTGGGTGACACCATAATCTTACAGGCAGAGTTCCTATGTGCCATTAACCTTCAGACATGATAGTTCCTTGAGGGGTAGGTAATGTTATCACGTCTGTTGTTTGAGTGGCCCTTAGATGTAGGGATCACACCTCTGGTCTGGTTCTTTGCAGTCATGAATTGTTTTGGCTGTCTGGGATTGCTATTACCTCTCTAATTCTTTCCTTTTAGCTTCATGTCCACATTGTCTTTAATGATAACCGTGTGTTCCAAGCACAGATGAAGCTGTGGGGGGTAAGTGAGGCTAAGTGGGCACAAGGGGGAGGCAGATGGGGTGAAAAGAAGGATTGCACTGCAATAAACTTAAGTTGTCTTGAGGGAAGGAGTTGTGGGAAAGTGGAGGTTTATATGTTTTCCTATTTAAATTTTCTCCCTGTCACTCATTAATACCCTTCTTGCACTCCCCACCCCCACATCCCATCCCTTCATTCTCTTTTATGAGTCCCTCTATCTTTCCCTCCTCCTCAGGTCATAAACGTGGAGCAGAGTTCTGTCTCCTTGATGCCATCTCGGGTTGAAATCTCCCTGCGAAAGGCAGACCCAGGATCTTGGGCCCAGCTGGAGCACCCCAGTGCTATAGCTGAGAAGGATAGGGCTAGGGTTGGGTTAGAAATGGATAAGGAAGAATCTGAGGATTCAGATGATGATCTGAGCTGGACAGAGGAGGAAGAGGAGGAAGCTATGGGGGAATAGTAACAGTAGACAGCCAAATGCCTAGCTAGTACCTCGGTGACTTCTTGAGGATCTCCGAGACCAGGATATTTATTGGCTGTGTGGTGCCCTTAAGCAGGTAAGGGCTGAAGGAGGAGAGAACAAAAGTGTCCAAACCAAACTGTTTTTTCTTTAAATAAATCTTGTATTCTGCAGATGTACAGTGTTATTCTCTTACCTCATTGGGATATTAATTCCCCTCAACTTCTATGTATGTTCAGTACACGTGTGAAAAAAACCCACAACACATTTAGTCTGTTCTTTACATCCACTGATTATTTACTGAGTACCTATGTGCCCAGGTGAATTAAATACAATTCAGTAGTTTTTTGTATATTCATGTGCTATGCAACCATATTCAATTTTAGAACATTTTCATTACTCCTTGTGTTCTCCCTTAAACCTATAGATTGAGTCAGTGAATCATCTATTTTATATCCCTGTAGATTTTCCTATTCTGGACACATATATACAAGGGAGTACACCCCCCCCCCAAAAAAAAAAAAACCAAAACAAACAAATTGCACCAGGTGGGGTGGAGCTTTCATAGAACACATTTCCCCCCAGCTAGGTAACCATTGAACAGCTCACTCTCAGTGCACCTAGTGGCACTGCCTGGGAAGGTTCTCTCTGGTTACATTGAATTTTTTTTGTAGAAGCAGTTTTACTCAGACCTTGTTTTTTGTGATGGCTGATTTAAGAGAACAGCACGCAGCTGTGAAATTTTGTTTTCCTGTTCAGGAAAAATGCCACAGAAACTTAACGATGGTGAACACAGTTTACAAGGACAGTACTAGGGAAAAAACTCAAGTATATGAGTGGTTTTCTCATTTCCAAAAAAGGAATATTGATTGATGACAAACCTTGTTCTGGACATCCGTCAATTTCCTGAATGGATGAAAATATCGCCTTGTAGTGCATTTAGAGTTCATTCCACCAGGTCAGACTGTTAATAAAACTTTCTATTTAGAGGTTCTGAAAAAGATTGCAGAACAGTATGTGACATAAAGGCCTGATTTGTGGCAGACGGACTGGTTTTGCCACAATGCACCTGTTCATGCAGCCATCTCAGGGGGCTGGTTATTGGAAAAAAACAGCATGCCTCTCTTGCCCCACACACCTTACCTGACCTAGCTCCGTTTGGTTTCTGTATGTTTCTGGGAATGAAAGGACAGCAATTTGATGACGTAGAAGAGGTGAAGAAAAAAATCTAGGGAGGTACTGTCAGTCATCCAAATAGATGAATTTTAAAAACGTTTCTAAGAATGGAATCGCAGATTTGACAAATGAATTAAGTGTAAAAGGAGAGTACTTTAAAAGTTATAAGGTTGCTTTGTAAAAAAACTTTTAAATATATAGCTTTGAAAAAAATTCCAGTGTTTTTTAGGGCGTGTGTGTGTGTGTGTGTGTGTAAAATACAACGTGGTCTTCTGTGACTGGCTTTTATTTAGCATGGTAATTTCAATACTCATCCATGTTGTATATCTATATCACTACTTTTTATGGCTGCATAATATTCCATTTTATGGTATATAACACATTTTGTTTATCCATTCACCAACTGATAAACATTTGGGTTGTATCTACCTGCTGGCTATTACAAATAATGCTGCTACGAACATTGGTGTACAATTTTTGTGTGGATATATGAGGGAACTTCAAAGGTTTGTTAAAAAAAGATTAAAAACAATGGAATTTTTCTACCAACTCCTTGCATGTTTTCATTTCACTTGTATATATAACTTTTCTCTTGTATGTATAACTAGGAGTAGAATTGTTAGGTACTGTGGTAGGTAACTGTTTAACTTCTTAAAGATCTGCCAGATTGTTTCTAAAGCAGTTGTACTACCATTTTTTAGCAGTTTTATTGGCACTCATCGACATGAAATAGTTGTCATATCAAGAAGAGGTATCCAATCATTACCACAATCAATTTTAGAACATTTTCTTCTCCCTTGTACTCCCTTGTACTTGTTATTCTTATAATTATTTTTTTAATTGTGACGAAGGTGTACACAACAAAACATTCTCCAATTCAACTTCTATGTATATAATTCAGTGCTATTCTTCATGTTGTAAACCATTATTGACAGCCTTTTCCAAATTATTCAACCACCATTAACTTTAACTCAATGCCCTTTAAGACAAAACTCTTCGTTCTTCACCCATGGTAACCATTGTTCAAGTTTGTTTGTTTTTAGTAGTTTTCTTAATATAATATTCACATATCATAAATACTCCCACATTTAAATCTCTTAAATAGAGATATACACATCATCGCAGTCAGTTCTTGTGCTCCCGCTCCCTACCCGCATTCATTGTTTGCTTCCCAATCCCCTTAATCCACCCACCCCTAACCATTTTTATCTGGATTAGAGTGAAATTTCCAGTTTCTCCACAGCCTTGACTTGTCTTTTTTATTGTTTGGGGCTTTTATTTTCCACTTGTCTTTTTTATCATAGCCATCCATGTGGGTGTCTGATTGCAGCTTTGACTTGCATTTCCTTAATGGCTAATGGTTCCCTTGAGTCATAATTGACGTCATGGGAGTGAGTTTTGCGTTTAATGGCTAACAGGAGTCATTCCTTGGTGCAAACAGTTAAGAATTGATGTTTGAATAAACCCACAGCAGTATCAGAAGAAAGACATAGCACTCTTTCCAAAAATCAGCCATGAAAAATCCTAAAAAGCGCACAGTTCTCTAGGGTCCACAGCAACTGGTTCTGGTTGTTGATGTGAACATGTTTTGTTTTTCTCTTTTTTTATTTTTATTTTTTATTTATTTTTCTTTTTCTATTTTAAATCATTCTATTGGGGGTTCGTACAACTCTTTCCATACATAACATCCATTGTGTCAAGCACGTTTGTACATTTATTGCCATCATTCTCAAAACATTTTCTTTCTACTTGAGCCCTAGGTATCAGCTCATTTTTCCCCTCCCTCCCACACGAACCCTTGATAATTTATAAATTATTTTGTCATGTCTTTTTTTAAAATT